CTGCCTGGTCCGATTACAAAAAAGTGAAAAAGCCTCAAGAGTTCCCAGCCGATAATCCGGTGTAGCGGGCGACCTGCGGAGAGTGGGGTGCTAAGGCCTTGAGCCCGGGGCCCGCTTCTTCAGCCGGTGCCGCCGCCCCATCCAAAAGGGCCAGCGTCCCTCCCCCCGTGTCCGGGACTCCTCTCTCTCTTTCCTCCTGGTTTTCCTTGTTCCAGCTTTCTCCCACCGACTTTATCGTCGTCAGCATCAAACCCATCCTCAACTTTTCCATTTGCGGAGCGGGTGTCGATTCGTGATATTTATTTCAACTTGGCGGACGCGGCGCATTTTCATCCTCTGCATTTCCGTTTGACCTCTCACACACTCAAACGCAATCACGACACGTCGGTCTCTCATGGCTACCACGGTGCGTTCCACCGCTCTCAGAGCCGGTGGTGCCTGTGTTCGATGCCGTAAAGGCAAGACCAAATGTGTCTACGAGAATGGGCGCGCGCCTTGCAAGAATTGCGCAAAGGGATTTCACGAATGCTATCTTCCGTCCGAGTCGATGGCTCACGGTGGCCACGGAGTCTCGCCAGCCAGAGTCCAGCAACGAGTACGCGAGAGCCTACCCGACCGGGCTGTATCATCAAGCACGGGAAGCCAGGCGCCCGCGACCTCAGGAGTTTCGCGTCATGTAACAGCAACAACCGAAAAGTATGTGAACATTCCCTTATTTTTTTACCCCGTTTTAACGGTTTATTGGTCTATTGCGTTTTTGTCATTACTCGGGGGTTTTTTTTTTTTTTTAACATTTTCCCTTTCTCTTTTTTGCCCTCCGCTCCGAAAGGTTCCGTTGGTTCTTCTTCTTTTCGGACCACCAAAAAATGGCCCCATTTTTCCCGCGCCCGGCCGCCTTTTCCAAAACGGCCAACCCAAATTTTCGCGTTTCCGTTCGTCACTCCGAGGTCTTGGCCCCACATGCACCCCGCCATGCCTCGAGGATCCTCCATCACTTTCAATTGACTGTCGGTAATTGCTTGGCATGCCATAGCATAGCGACGACGAGGTTGTTGACAACCTCACTCATATTCCTTCAACTGCTTGTCAAGTGTTAAGCAGCGCACAATCACTCCTTCAACTGTTTCTGTGTCCATTATTTTTTTCAGCGACGCCGCTTTTTTATGCCTTCAAGCGTTGTATTTCATCGTTTTCTGCTTTCGGCTTCAACCATTTAGTTTAATCATCAGAGACTGACAAGATGGCACCTCTTCGATATAGACTTACTCCAGAGCTATTGTTGGAATGCGAGAGAGTCGTCTCCAAGACTCTGCCGGCTTGTGTGGCATTTCACAAGCCTTCGTTTCTTCAGCAGCTCAAAAATACCAACATGGATCCAACCATGGTCAATGCGCTCCTGACCACGGCAGCCCGGTAAGCGGACCTCACCTCATCTATGTGTCGAACCACACTAACTGTTCGATGACAGGCACTCTCCACCAATGATTCGCCGATACGGAGCTCATGGTGGTGGCACCAGTGCCGCTGAGCACTTTGCCGGCAAGACCATCGGCCTGATCATGAATGCGCTGGACCAACCTAGCCTGGCTGACATTCAAGCACTGTGCTTGCTCGTTGTTCACGAGTGGGGCTGTAGAAATGCCGTTCGTGCCTACGTCTACCTCGGCCAGGCGGCCAGGATGGCACAGATGTATCGCGTCGTCCACAACCAGATTCATCAGAACGACCCGGATCAGTTCCTCCAGGACGAGTCTTTCCGCCGCACTCTCTGGCTGATCTACATCCTTGACTGCTTCCTCACGAGCAGTCCCGGCCGTCATCCCGCTCTCTCTTCTCACGACGTTCAGGGTGTTTCACTTCCCTGCACAGACACCAACTTCCATTTTGGCAACCCTGTCCACGTCCGCACTCTCAACGGAGACGCGCCAGTGGCCATGCCGCCGAACACGGCCCTCGGTGACGTTGGCGAGTTTGGTCACATAGTACTGGCGACCAAGGCTTGGCGTAACGTCGTCGAGATGATGACCACAACCACTCTCGAGACATTCTCCGAGGAGCAATGCTTAAGACTCGAGCAAGATATTGACGGAATTCGTCAGTCTCTGCCCCCTCATTTTGCCGACAAGCCTGGCCAGATTCTCCTTCACATCACCATGGGTAGCGGTTACACCTACGCCATGATTCACTCTCTTCTCAACTGCGGGACCATCTTTGTGAACCGTCGGCGCATTTTGCAGCTTGTCACGGATGAGCAGTTCAACATGGACACATGGAGCGCCAACCCTCAGGCTAATGCGTCCGTTGATGCCATCTTTTCAGCGTCCCACAGTATCATCCTCGGTCTCCTGTCCCTTGAGCACGGTGCTGATAAAGATGCTATCCTCTGCTTCCCCATCTTTATGCTCTTTTCGGCTTTTACCGCCGGTTCGACGGTTGCATACCTCGCTCTCAAGGGTCTTGCTCCGACCAATGCCACCGAGACTGCTGCCACCATCGTCCGGGATAGCTTGCGGCTTTGCCAGGACGGCTCTGAGTCCTGGCCCTTGGTGATCCCTTGGCAGCGCCACCTCTCTGTCATGTCTAAGGTCCTTCGCGATGTGAGCACAGGTCCACCCGCTCCTCCCAGAGAGAGCCGTGAAGATAGCAGCAAACTTGCCATTCGATCTCCATCGTTCAATAATGATGCTGTCAGCCAAGCTGACGCCAGCCCCGATGTCATGGACTATGATCAGACTCCTACGCTTGTCGAGCCCCACAATCAGCAGCATCCTTCTATCGAAGGCCGAGAGAGCGAGCCCCCAGTGCCAAGGCGACCAGGCTTTGCACCTATCAACGGTGGCTCCGTCGGCACTGTTACGCCAGCCACAGCCAGCCCTCCTCCCGTGCCCCAACAAAAGATCGACTCTCCCGAACCATCATCGGTTTCGGTTGCCGGCGGAAATAATGCCCCCAATGTTGGCGGTCCCGACGTTGATATGACGGCGCATGAGCTTTGTCAAGCGTTTGAACGACAGCTTCTCGAGTTGGATGATTTGGCAGCATTTATGGGGGGTGGAGTGTGAGTACTTTCATTACCACTTCTTTTCCCTCCCTCCCTCCCACCCGTCCTTCCTACTTCGGATGATTGGCCATTGGAATCGTCCGGCTAAATGTTTTCCAAAAAAAAGTGCTCCCAGCTAGAGAAGAGTGTTTTCAAGAGCTTCACTTTTTTCTACTCCTATACTCCTACCTCACTTGTCACTCACTCCTCACAATCCCGCGCGGGGTGCCACAAATATTGATTCGATTCGCGGATAGTGATCGAGATCGTCACCGACTACTTCAATTTCACGTGCCGGTTCCTCGATATACTACGCAGCAGTTTTCCCACTATGGGCGATAAACAGCTACCACGATGATGATGATGACGACGACGAAGGAGAAGAGGGAGGTTTGGTTTGGGATTTTGTCTCTTTTTTTTGACCTTTTTTCTAGTGGCGACGGGTAAATAACTCCTGGCAAGGGATTTGGGTGGACTCTTTTCTTTTTGGTTTGTTTTTCTGTTATTGGTTGCTTTTTTTTCTCTACCCGAATGGGATGGGTTTCTTAAGGAACAATTGGGAGGATGGAACAGCTAGTCTATGTATCATGTGTGTGTGTGTCGGGATATTTTTTTTTCGGGCGTATTTTTAGGGCTGGGATGGATGGTGTGTGGGTGTAATGGATGAAGGAAAGGGTTTTTTTTTTCTCTTTTGTTTGTGAAGGTCTGCTTTTTTACCTTGTTGCGAATAAGTTTTGCTAGGACCCTGTGTGTAAGAAGAAGCATGGAAAAGCGGGTTTTTATACTACGATATCAGGAAGTCGTGCGTGTTGTTGTTGTTGTATTTGTGGGGATTAATTAGTTGCATGGATTTTATAGTGTTGTTGTTTTATAGCCTTTTAAGATTGTTCTGTGTGCGGAATTAAGAGTGTCTTTTTTTCTTAATATGAGAATATGATGCTATGAACTGGTGAGTGTTTGACGAAGATGAAGAAGGGTCTTTTTACTTGAGAGCTTGAGGGGAATAAGACGGTGATGGGACTTTGCTGACTCGGCGAGAATGGTCGGTGAGCTGGGTGTCTGTCCATTAGGAACTGTCCCGTCTCGCCCATCTGTAAAGGGTTGGAATGGGTCCGTACTTAATTTTGACGTCAGGCGGTTGAGGTTTGGACTCCACTTGGTTCGGGAGAAATATGCTGTGATACCCCAGTGATACTACCCTTTTGGGAGTGGGTGAGGGGGTTTGACCTTGGTTTAATGCAGTTTTATGTGTAACTTATGCAAGTTTGAAGTTATTCGGCTAGGTTACTGGTTTTGGGTTTGAGTGAGTGTGTTATGCGGGAGTTTTCGTTGAGTAGAAGCAGATTTTGGGTTGTCTGAAGCAAAGCGAATGAGGGTTGGTGGGATTGTTTGCTGCTTTCCGTTCTTTCCTTCATCTCGTTCTCTCGAACAAGTGACAACGGGCGCTAATAATTGACATTCCCCCGTTTGTACGATGGCCTCAATGGGTGTTCGATATAATACCTAGATGATATACCTCAATCCTCCTTCCCAATTTCTCATCACGGCAGCCATGGCCCTCACCACAGAACAAAACAACCCACCTCACTGTAACCTCACACTAACTCAATACCTCTCAACCCGCTTTTTCACCCTTCTTTCCTCCTCAAAACAAACATCTACCAAACCCTTTTTACTTTGAGGATATCTCTTCACACCATGGCAATTTATCACCCTTCTACTATATATCACGACTTTCTTTCTCTTGTATAACCCTAACCATATTAAAACCCCCCTCTTATTTCAATAACCTCTCAAAGAGAGAGAGAGGGGAGAGAGGAAGAGCATATCCACGAGTCATCACCAAGCCACAAACCAACCACAACCGGACTTCAACCTCTTTCTAAGCCAACTAAACCCACTTACCACCCCAGGCCTATTTATTTCACATTCTGGCCGCATTGTTTCAACTAAAATTACAGTCCACGTAGCGTAGTGGTCAACGTTTGTGATGCTTTTCTTCAGCGTTTAGTATATTTATTTAGTGATTTTGATTTGAGGCAGCGAAAGACGTCGGTTAGAATCCGACCGGGGACAACTTCTCCTTTTTTTTTTCCCCTTTTTACCACGACAACTTTTATATTATCTCATTACTATATCATTCTTGACAAAAGTTCTAATATAACGCAATTTGAATTCTTTAGAATAGAGAATCTTTCAAGAGCAAGTTCTCTCTTCCTATATTTGACAGTTGATAGATTTTATGTGTGTTAACTACAAAACAGGGGTTTTAATGAAAGTAATGTGTATATATAATATTTGACAGTCGTTTTATTTTAATACCATCACCGAAAAAACAAAAAAAAAAAAAAAAACAAATTATGCCTTTTTTATATAGTTTTTGGCGTTTTTCTTTTTTTTTTTTCTACAACGTTAGTGGAAGGTGACAAGTTTTGCATAGTGTGAAGAGATATCCTGTTGATTGGAAAATCTGGGGAAAAAAGGTTTGATGAAGGTGATAAGGATGTAGGGGAGGATGAGGGTTGGAGAGACGGTAAATGAGGGTGTTGAGGATGAGAGAAAAGATAAGGGTTCTCCCGGAGGGGCGGAGGGAGCGTGAATGTATCAACGAGTATATTGTGTTGATCGAGTCAATACCGAGCATGTTTGTTTGTATAATGCGGGTTATCACCTACCAAATTGCTCGGTGCCCTAAGAAATAAAATGTATAAACAGTTGTTGTCACTTCTTACTCTTTGAGAGTCCCGAATTATTATTGCGTGGAAGGTCACCAATCATGACCCGGAGTTCCGATGCCTGTGTTTCAAGTCGTCGTTAGCTAGTTGACTCGCTCCTAACGAGCAGAGACCTATAGTATGTATTTATAGTAGAAAATAACAACTTATTGTGATGCTCTCAACATGACTGATTGTCCGCGGTATGGATGTACGTTGTCATAAGGGATAAAAACATAAAATCTTTTTAAAAAGGAGAATAATGATATAGTGATCAAAGATAAACCGGCGACGGTCGACATATCTCGATTTGTCAAGCGGAATTCATGGCATTTAAAGAAGTATTGAAGACTTGAAAGATTCAAAATAACGTTTAAAGGTGACCCTATTAGAGCTGGTGGTCCTGCGGTTTGCTTGATAAGCAATTATCAGATGGGATTAACGGAGTGAAAAGTCGAAATGTTATCCGGCCGAAGGCTTTTGTTTTATTTTTAAGAGGATGTTTTTTCGTACAATGCTGTTTATCACCTCCCAATGTAGCCCAATCTTTTGCGCCCATAACCCTAAGCCGGTTGAAGGCATGGGCTTTTTCAGTAAGCTATTCCATGTTTTAATAACCTGTACAAAAAAAGAAAACATAGTTTTTCGAATATAAAAAAGGCATAAATTATTTCCAGTAAGTGATTCCGTTTTTTAATAACCTCTATTAAAAAGAAAAAAAGAAAAAAACAGGTTTTCGATTATAAAAAGGCATAAATTATTATTTTAGGGGATTTTGTTTAAATAAAATGGATAAAAGGATCAAAAATATGTCTTTTTAAATGATGTTTTAGCATGAGCATTGTGGGAGGTGACAAACAGCATTGTACGAAGAGACATTCTCTGTTTTAATGTGTGATCTATCCTCAAAGATAAGACCTTGAAATCCATCAATCGAACGTCAACAACAACCATACATAGTTGGCTAGATCATCCGATAATACATCAAAAGAATTGTCTATTAACCGTTTGAACTGCTAGCCACTAGCCAATTGAGATGTGTCGAAGGTACACATAAAAAGCAATCTCCCCCGCCCGTTCGACAATGGTGAGTTTGCCGCCATATGAAAACATCTCAGCAACTCAAGACCAAACGCCAGTCCATCATGACTTTGCATATTCATTTTATAAGGGTATCTATCATACACACAAACACTTTCATCTTTTAGATCACCACCTTCTTCCCCGCCCCCTGCCACCCCTTCCACCACCACCCATCTGATCATACCCTCCGTAACCCGGACCCTGACCATATCCTCCCGGACCACCAAACGGTGGTTGTCCCTGACCGCCGGGACCTCCGGGTCCAGGTCCAGGTCCCGGACCTCCTCCTTGACCACCAAACATGCCTGCCATTGCGTTCATATCCATCTGACTTGGATCCATGCCGCTTGCCATCATCTGCTGCATCATAGCCTGCATCTCTGGTGGCATTCCTTCAACACCGGCCGGGCCAGCACCTGGACCTCCGGGACCTTGACCCGGACCGCCAGGACCGCCCATCCCGGGAGGCATCATGCCACCCATCATCATCATGTTGGTCATCTCCTCCATCATCTTCTTGTTGTTTTGAGCGATGGCTTCCTGGTTGTACTCCCCGCGCATAGCTTCCTGTTTTTGAGCGTACAAGGCCCAGGTGAACTCGTCAAAACCGTAGTTGAAGTAGTCTGAGAGGTCGGTTCCGGGTTTGCGCCAGGGCTTGTCGTTGTCGGGGAGGTCCTCGTCAATGTTGAGCTGAGTGAGGGGCTTGCCCGTGGGCTTGTGAATGGGGATGGCGTGAACGTTTATCTTGGAGGATGTGTGGGCTGGGGGAAGTTCGGATTGTTGTGGTTGTTGATTCTGCTGCTGCTGCTGGTGTCTGACAGGAGGGGGTTTGGAGGGCTCGTTGGTGGTAGCAGTTCGTTGGGGAATGTTACGAATCTCTGAGTATTTGGATTGTCTGCTATTTCATTAGATGAGGACACAAGCGACGAAAGTGTTATGAGGTCGCTTACGGCGGGGGGGCTGGTTTGGAGTTGTCTTTTCTTTCGGTGATGATGTCGATATCCTGGGAGGAGCTGTTAGCAATTAATGGGTAGATTTGATGGTTAATGAATGTTGCATACTGAATCGTCATCCTCATCCATCTCCCCGCCCTCATCCTCCTCCTCGCCTTCTTCTAGTTCCTCGTTTGCATCATTCTTTGGGGCAGCGACTTGGGCAGCCGCAGCCGCAGCTGTTGTGGGTTGCGCGGGGGCAGCCGGACTCTCTTCCTCATCCGGAGAGTAGAAATCGTCCTCGTCGTCAATATCCATGGTGAATTAAGTTGGTAAATTTATGTCAGGAAAAATGTGCAATTGTTGTTACAGAGAGAGGAAGGAACGACAATGAATTGAGGGACGATTACCTAAACCGTTGAAACAAGTCTCTTTTTTTGGCAGGCGGTCAGTCGCGTCTCCACGGTCCTTGCGCGACATGGCCCAAGCTCCAAGCTCCAGATCCACACTGTGTGTCGCAGCAACCTGCAGTTGTCCAGCGCGGGAAACGGGCAGAAAAAAACCTCCAAAGATCAAAACATCGGCGAACCTGGAACCTTGCGACCAAAAAAGCTCCACATTGAACATTCAAGGTTCCCAATTCCCCAAAAAACAAACCCGACATTAACCTGCATCGCCGCTTCAATTCGTTCGTCACATAAACGTTGACACCATGCTTGCACGATCAGCGAGCGGCCCCGGCGGGCTTAGCATCAATACCAGCGGTGCCAATTTGTTGTAAGTGATGCAGGGAGAATCCCATTTCTGAGACACGCATGCGCTGACTCGTCTCCCGCACAGTGGAAGTGCGACAACCCAACAACCCCCAGCAGCTGGTGGGCTCTTTGGACAAACAACCCAGCCCGCTCAGACAGGCACTTCGCTGTTTGGAAACACCGCCGCAGGAACTTCGCAACCCCAGCAGGGCGGAGGTCTTTTCGGCACCGCAGCAGCACACCCTCAACAGCAGACCCAACAGACGGGAGGACTATTTGGAGGCGCAACCACTCCAGCGGCAGCAAAGCCAGGCGGTTTATTCGGAACGACAACTACACAACCAGCGCAGCAGCAGATGGGCGGTCTTTTTGGGGCGACGGCGACGACACCTGCGCAGCAAACAGGTGGTGGTCTCTTTGGCGCTACAATGACACCGGCGCAAACAGGCGGTGGCTTGTTTGGGAACCAGCAGCAACAGCAACAGCAACAGCAACAGCAACCGCAGCAGCAGCAGCAACCGCAGCAGCAGCAGCAAGCAACGGGCGGTGGACTGTTTGGGGCTTCGACAGCAAATACCGGCGGCATGTTTGGTACCCAAAGCACAGCGCCTAGCGGTGGCCTTTTGTATGTTTTTTTCTCTCCGAGTTATCTACGAAAAAAGCAAGGTACTAATTCTTCTGTTGGCACAGTGGCCTGGGCTCCTCCACAATTGGGCAGCAGCAACAACCCCAGCAACAACAGGCCCAGCAACAAGTAGGCCTGACGATGGGCGCAGCAAATAAGCAACAACAGGTAGTTCCCGGTGTGCGAATCGACCTTAGCAACATCAGATCCACGACTCGCTATAACGATCTCAACGAAGAACTTCAGAAAGAAATTTCTCTGATCGATGAGAGCATCCAAAAGTGTATCCGAGATTACGAGGCCGTTGAAGCCTTTCTCCCATCTCACGGCGACCAGCTTTCTGCCATTCCCACCGACGTCAGCTTCGTCACACGCAAATCTGAGGGCGCCCAACGCGCTCTTGGCAGCGATGTTGAGGCGATCAACCAGCTCCGTGAGATCATCAAGCGAGATGCAGATAATGCTCGACTCTCGTTCAAGGCCATCGACAACCTCAAGCTCCCAATGCAATATCATCAGGCTGGGTTGTGGTCTAAGCCAGGTGCTGCTGCGGGCTCTGCCGACGCTAACGCAGAGAGTAATTCTGACCTCATCACCTTTTTCTCAAAAACCGCCGAGGAAATGGACGAAATGATGCACAAGTTCGAGAGGAATCTGGGAGAGATTGAGGTTCACTTGCACGGAGTTCAGGGTAACATGATGGAGCAACTTCAGAGGGTAGCTGCTCAATCCAAGAATGGCAGTCAGTCTGGCGTAGACGAGAGGGTTGTAGAGTTGGCGGCCGTGTTGAGAGACTTTGAGGAGAGCATTCTCAAGGTTGCCGGTGTTGTAGGTGGTGTAAAGGAGGGCATTACAGAATTACAGTTGAAGGATTTTATGGGTCATGGACATTAATGAGTATTAAATTGGGTTGAGCTGTTGTATTTCTTTTTTTTTTTTTAGTCTTTTTTTTTTCTATAAAAAAAAA